CAATGGCTTCAAAAAGAATAAAGTACTCCTCTGGTCCTGCTCAGGCTCTGTTACAAAAAAAGAAAAAGTACTTAGGAATACACACACACACACACACACACACACACACATATATATATATACAATTTTTTTTTTTCCTTTTTCTTTTTTTGAGACAGAGTCTTGCTCTGTCACCCAGGCTGGAGTGCAGTGGCATGATCTTGGCTCACTGCAACCTCCACTTGCCCAGTTCAAGCAATTCTCCTGTCTCAGCCTCCCAGGTAGTTAGGACTACAGGCACCCCCACCAGGCCCGGCTAATTTTTGTATTTTTAGCAGAGATGGGGTTTCACCATATTGGTCAGTCTGGTCTCAAACTCCTGACCTCAGGTTATCCACCTGCCTTGGCCTCCCAAAGTGCTGGGATTACAGGCGTGAGCTAGTGCACCTGTCAACTTAGGAATATATTTAACAAAATAAATGTATGGTGTGTACACAGAAAACTATAAAACACTGTTGAAAGAAATTACAGATTTAATGCAATCCCTGTCAAAATTTCAACTACCATTTTTTGGAGCAATGGATAAACAGATCCTAAATTCATATTACGCAAGGGAGCCAGAATATTCAAAACAATCTTGAAAAAGAACAAAGTTGGGAGGACTGACACCTCTCAATTTCAAAATTCCTGACAAAGCTACAGTAATCAAGACACTGTGTTACTAGCATTTGGATAGAAATATAGATCAATGGAGTAGAACTGAGACCAGAAATAAATCCATGTACCTATTTATGGTCGATTGGTTTTCATCAAGGTGCCAAGACCATCCAATGGAAGAAAAAAGAGTCTTTTCAACTGCTGGGATATCTGAATATCAAACTGCTAAAGAATGAATTTGGATGCCTACTTCATACCATATGGAACAAAAACCAAAGAAAAATAGATCTAGATCTAAAACTATACAACTCTGAAGGAAACAAAGTATAAATCATCATGATATTGATTAGGCAATGATTTCTCAAATATGACAGCAAAAGCGCACACACACATACATACATACATACAAATTAGGCTTCATCAAAATCAAAAACTTCCATGCATCAAAAAACACTATTTAGGGCCGGACACGGTGTTGCGCCTGTAATCTCAGCACTTTGGGAAGCTGAGGCGGGCGGATCACTTGAGGACAGGAGTTCGAGACCAGCCTGGCCAACATGGTGACATCGTCTCTACTAAAAAGACAAAAACATTTTTAAAATTAGCTGGGTGTGGTGGTGGGCGCCTGTGGTCCCAGCTGTTCGGGAGGCTGAGGCAGGAGAATCACTTGAAGCTGGGAGGTGGAGCCTGCAGTGAGCCAAGATCGTGCTACTGCATTCCAGCCTGGGGGTGACAAGAGCAAAACTTCATAAAAAAAAAAAAAAAAAAAGTTACACAAATAGCGAATTGACACAGGAAAAGATAATCAACATCATGAATCCTCAGGTAGATGCAAATCAAAGCCACAGCGGGGTATCACTTTACTTTTATTTACTTATTTCCTCCTACCCCCTATTTGGCTGGAGTGCAGTGGGGTGATCTCCGCTCATAGCAACCTCCATCTCTCGAGCTCAAGCTGTCCTCCTGCCTCAACCTCGGAGTAGCCGGGACTACAGGCACGCACCACCACACCCGGCTAATTCAAAAAATGTTTTTGTAGAGACGGGGTCTCGCTTTATTGCCCAGGTTGGTCTCGAATTTCTGGTCTCTGGCGATCCTCCCGCCTTGGCGCAGTGTTGGGATGACAGGCGTCAGCCATTACGTGGGCGGCAGCCATTCTGGGGTTTAACAGAGAGAGCCACTATGCACCCAGCGTCTGTGTTACGTATTGTACAGAATAGGTGGACCACCCTCTATAAAGGTCCGTGCACGAGGCTGGCTTTCTCTCGCAGTCTAGCAATTTTCCACACAAAAGCGGCACTCATTTTTGCACAGTCTCCAAAATGTGGTCGGGATTGGGAGCCCGCACCTTCCGAAATTCCAGGCTCTTTCCCAGCCCCCAGTGCTCCATTCCAGGCCTGGCCGCAACAGGCCCAAGGCGCATGCCCAGAGAAGGCTGTGGGAGGGGCGCACTACACCTGTAGGGGGCAGCCCCGGGCTTTCACACGGTCAGTGCTTCCGGGTCGCCTGGGCGTCGCCAGTGTTGGGACCCCGACCGGCCAGCCCGGGAGCCGAGCGTGGAGGCTGGTCTCGCCTTCCCCCGGGAGGTAGGCCCGACAGCACAGGGGGACAGTCCAGCCTCAGCATGCCAAAGCTGAATGGGGAAGAGGATGCACCTCCCAACTGGGCTCTCCGGTTTGGGAGTCTCGGAGCTGTTCTGGTTTCCAGGCTGAGCCTTACCATCTTGTTTAGCACATGGTTAGGGGCCCTGGACTGGAGCCCAATAACCGGGGCTCAGAGACTCTGGGGAGTCCTGGGGCCGCGGGGTTGCTTCTTGGGCGTATGATAATGTTCCGGAATTAGCCAGTGGTGATGGTTGCACAATATTGCCAATAATAATAAACCCCACAGGATTGAATACATTTTAAAAAGTGAATTTTAGGGTATGTGAACTATACATATATAAAAAGGATGTTTACTACACCATGCTGTAATAGTTAGAATGAGAACTATCCTAGATAGCCGACAACAAGGGAACTGTCTAAGAGTCTGGTTCATACCTGTAATCCCAGCACTTTGGGAGGCCGAGGCGGGCGGATCACGAGGTCAAGAAATCGAAACCATCCTGGCCAACATAGTGAAACCCCGACTCTACTAAAAATACAAAAATTAGCTGGGCCTGGTGATGCGCGCGCCTGCAGCCCCAGTTACTTGGGAGGCTGACGCAGGAAAATCGCTTGAGCCCAGGAGGTGGAGGTCACAGTGAGCTGAGATCACACCACTGCACTCAAGCCTGGAGACAGAGCGAGACTCTGTCTCAAAAAAAAGAAAAAAGAGTCTGTAGACTAGCGAGCTGTAGAGCGCAAAATGTTAATGCCCCTGGTTGTAAAGCTGAATACAAAGTGGCTTCTATAGCCCGGATGGTGGCTCACACCTCTAATCCCAGCACTTTGGGAGACCGAGGTGGGAGGATAGCTTGACCCCATGAGTTTGAGACCAGCCTGGGCAACACAGTGAGACCCTTGTCTCTACAAATTTTTAAAATTAGCTGGGTGTGGTGGTGCACGCCTGTATTCCCAGCAGTCCCGGCTACTCGGAAGGCAGAGGTGGGAGGATCACTTAAAGCCAGAAGATCCAGGCTGCAGTGAGCCATGGTAGGGGGCCACTGCACTCTGGCCTGGGCAAAAGGGCGGCCCTGTCTCTAAAAACCATTCAGTTAGGAGTTGTTTACTGTAAAACAACATTTTAAACCGCTGACTTAAAAAACAACAATGTCGGCCAGGCGCGGTGTCTCACGCCTGTAATCCCAGCATTTTGGGAGGCCGAGGCGGGTGGATCACAATGTCAAGAGATCGAGACCATCCTGGTCAACATGGTGAAACCCCATCTCTACTAAAAATACAAAAAATCAGCTGGGCATGGTGGCGCGTGCCCGTAATCCCAGCTACTCAGGAGGCTGAGGCAGGAGAATTGCCTGAACCCAGGAGGCGGGGGTTGTGGTGAGCCGAGACGGCGCCATTGCACTCCAGCCTGGGTAACAAGAGCAAAACTCCGTTTCAAAAAAAAAAAAAAACAAAAAACAAAAAACCTAAAACAATGTCTTCTGGTAACCTTTATTTAAGAAATACTTCAGGCAGCCGGCTTTGTACTAACGCCCAAATTGAGTTGCTGTTTTTTTTGAGAAGTCTCCCTCTGTCTCCCAGGATGCAGTGCAATGGGGCTATCTCGGCTCACTGCAACCTCTGCCTCCTGGGTTCAAGGGATTCTCCTCCTCAGCCTCTCGAGTATTTGGGATTACAAGTGCCCCCCACCACACCTGGCTAATTTTTTTTTGTATTTTTAGTAGAGATGGGGTTTCACTATGTTAGCCAGGATGGTCTCGATCTCCTGACCTCGTGATCCGCCTGCCTTAGCCTCCCAAAGTGTTACGATTACACGCCCGAGCGTGTATTTTCAATCCTATTTTACAAATGAGGAAACTGAGGTTTAGAGGGCTAGGTACCCTATCCAGCATAAGTTAAATGGTGGAACGGGGATTCCACCTCTGTTGGTAGGACCCCCAGGCCTGGTTACCCACAGGACACCACCTCAACTCTAATTTCCATGGTTATTTAAAACCAGAGTTTGGGACTTTGGAATTCTTTCCTCTAGAAAACTGTAGCCTAGGTTTTCTTTACTTCTGGTTGTGCTGCTGGGGTCACAAGATAATGTCTGTAGACCACCATGGTGAACGGTGTCATGGTTCCTGAAGTCCCTGGGAAGCCCGTGAGGCGTGGAAGAGCTGGTTTTCTCGCTCACACACAACTCAGAGCGGAGGCCAGGGCCAAATGTGGGCCCCACCACTTGCTAGTTCGTGCGCTACCCGCAACGGACAACCAAACTGCACCCACTTCCAGCGCCTGACGAGCACACATAGGGCTGGTGCTGGGAAAAGTTAGTGACTGTGAAGCCGCCAGCACAGGGCTGGCCACTTCGTAAGCGTCGGTCACGCCTTAGCTGTTAAGCAGACCTGAACGTTCACCGCCGTAGGGCTCGCAGCCCAGCCACCGCCAGGTGTCGGGTGAGGCCTTCGGCATCAGGGCTTAGAGAAACGCTTAAAGAAACGCCGTCAGTGGCGACACTCGGGGTGCCCTCCCTGCGTGTTTATGGCTGCAGTGTTGATCCGGCCGGAGGGCCCTACGCGCCCCAGAACGGGCGGAGCGCGCCGGCCCAGTTTCCACCCAGGTCCAGTAGTGCTGGCGTTGCACGTGCTCGACCCTCCCCGCCCCTCCCCGCCCCTTTCACCGGCCTTCGTTATCTGCGCGGGTCTCCCACCCCTAGCTCTGCAGCGGGAAAGCGGCAGCCCTCGAACTGACGCCAGTAGTCACCCCAGGCAGCAGACTTACCTGTTCAGAGGGTTCCTTCCGGATCCCCCTCGGCCTTAGCTCTGCAGGAGTTGCGCCAAAGTGTGCAAGGACCCGGAAAGACCAAGGTGTAGCGTCAGCCAGTTAGGTGGATCCATCTTTGGTGTTGTAGTAGCCGATAGGGCTATAGAGGCCTTCCTTTTCTTCTCACTGGACGCGGCTTCTGTCTATCAACGTCAATAGGCGGGATCATACGGAGAAGGCGGGGATTAGTGCTTCGGCTCCTCCCAGGCCTGGCCTGTCAGGGCCGGAGGCACGTGGGGGCGGGGCCGGGAGCGCTTAGGGGCGGGGCAAGGCGCACGTGGGGGCGGGGCCGGGGGCTGCTCTCTGAGCGCGGAACTGTCGGGAGTCCCTTTCCTAAGCGGCCGTGTCCTCCTCTCTCTGCAGGGTGATCCGGCCCTCTCGCTGTGGTGGAAAGAGCGAAGGAGTCTGAGGCGAGGGACAGAAGTAACGTGATGTTACGACAGTCGGTGATGTCTTCAGCAATGGCCTCAGGCGGCGGAGACCGCTGCCCTGGGTCTGCGGGGTTCAAGGTGCAGCGGAGCGATCCCTGACCATGGAACTAAGAGGCCTCGGTGCTGGCTCCAGTACTGCTCCTGTTTGCTGTGGCACCTAGGGCGAATCGCTTCCCTTCTCTGTGCCTTGATTTCTTATGTTGAGAGAGGGAATCTGATCTATCATTCTCAGGTCCTCTCCAGCTCGGAGTTTGTTCACACCACCAGTATTTCTGGAATGACCTGTGTGTGCTGTGTCTGTCCCGGATATCAGCTGACGGTTATGAGATCTTCTGAAAGGAAAACGGAAGCCTCTGATGGGCTGGTGGCCCGAAGAAATAGTTTGTGAGGACCCCTGAGTTCACAGAGCCAGGCTGGGTGGGGTCCAGCAGCAGGCCTGGGGCGTCATGCGGCTCCATAACCTAGGCCCCTGCCCGTGGCTGGATCCGTTTTAAAGCAGGCGGTGGGGTTCACCCATTGCACGCTGTGTGAAGGCATTTCAGCCCATAACGAGGAAGCTAGGATTTCAGGCTCAACTCCTGGCTCTGAGGAGTTTGTAGATAATAAGTACAGCGTGTGGAGTGGGGTGGGGTGATGAGGAAAGTGAGAGAAGTGGGTATAGTCAGAATAAAGGACCGCTTCATGAAGCTTGAGCGGCCTTAAAGAGAGGGGCAGAGAGAAATCCTAGCTGAAGGAACAACATGGCTGGAGGCTGGTTCAAGCTGGCTGGGGAGGGGAATCTTGGAAGCAAAACTCCCCCGCAGGGTAGGTTGGGGCTTGTTGCGGCGGTAATTGGCAGGGAAAGAACAGTCAGTCCTGGCGCAGTGGCTCATGCCTGTAATCCCAGCACTTTGGGAGGCCAAGATGGGTGGATCACTTGAGGCCAGGAGTTCGAGACCAGCCTGGGCAACCTGGTGAAACCCCGTTTCTACTAAAAATACAAAAAACTAGCTAGGTGTTGTGGCCGGTGCCTGTAATCCCACTTACTTGGGAGGCTGAGGTAGGAGAATGGCTTGAACCCGGGAGGCGGAGGTTGCAGTGAGCAGAGATTCCACCATTGCACTCCAGCCTGGATGACAGAGCAAGACACTGTCTTGGAAAAAAAAAAAAAAAGTAGACAATGGGAGGCTCTGAGAGTTTGAGAGTTGGGAAGTGACAGGACTAGAGCTGTGCTTCTGGGAAATCACCATGTAGGGGGTTGGGAAGAAAAGATTGTGGAAGTCAACTGGGAGACCCCAAAGGAATTTATTGCAGCAACAGTCTTTGTGAAAAGTGGTTAGGGCCAGACCAGGCTGGGGGTAGCCAGGATGGAAGGGAGGTGCAGATGGTGGGCAGGATTCAGAGGGAGAGTCGGCCAAACTTGAACTCTGGGGGAGGAGTCAAGCTGGCTTAAGAGAGGGGAACACTGGAGGAAGGCAGCAGGAAGCCTTGGCTTGGGCTTGCTGAGGGAATGAGCAGCTGGCAGCCGGCCAGCAGGCTCCGTTGAATGTCCATGGAGGGGACAGTGAGGTAGGCAGGTCTCCAAGGTATATGAGATGTACCTTGGGGACCTGCAGCACACACAGAGAAAAGATTAAAGAATGTTTGCAAATCAGGGCACAAAGGTAGCTTGCTGGGCATTGGACAAGTCATTAGGTATTCCAACCTCAGTTTCTTCACAGGTTAGAATGAGGATAAGACACCTACTAAGGAAGGTGGTATGGAGTAAGCTCTGATGTTAGAGTACCTCACCCAGGACTTGGTGCACAGTGCCCATTTTTAAAAAATAATCAGGCACAATCCAGTGTTCGTGACTATCTAGTAAGTTTTCTGTTTTGTTTTTGAGACAGCATCTCTCTCTGTCACCCAGGCTAGAGTGCAGTGGTGATCTCAGATCACTGCAACCTCTGCCTCCCAGCCTCAAGCAATCCTCTCACTTCAGCCCCCTAAGTAGCTGGGACCATGGGTGCATATCACCACACCCACTAAGTTGTATTTTTTGTAGAGATGGGGATCTCTCTGTGTTGCTCAGGCTGGTCTCGAATTTGTGAGCTCAAGTGATCTGCCCACCTTGGCTTCCCAAAGTGTTGGGATTACAGACGTGAGCCACTGCCTTCTGCAAAACTCCCTATACCTCTTTGTATGATTACGTGTTCACTAAACTGCTGATGACTGACTCCATTATGATTTTGGAAAAGAGGGAGCCCTGGGTAATGGGCAATTCTTTCAGCCTCCCAAGTAGCTGAGATGACAGGCGCCTGCCACCACATCCAGCTAATATTTTGTATTTATAGTAGAAACAGGGTTTCACCATGTTGGCCAGGCTGGTCTCGAACTCCTGACCTCAGGTGATCCGCCCACCTTGGCCTCCCAAAGTTCTGGGATTACAGGCCTGAACCACCGTGCCCAGCCTTCAAATACTAGATCTTTTTCATTCTTTCAAACTGTGTTTTTGTACCCATTAGCCATCCTCACGTCTCCCCATCCTCCAAAATAGAAAATATAAATGTTAATTTAAACAAATCAACATTTGTTTAAATCAACTGCAAGAGTTGACCTTTTTTTAAAAAATAAAACAAAACAAAACTTTTTCTTATAGAGACAGGGCCTTGCTATATTGCCCAGACTGATCTCGAACTCCTGGGCTCAAGCGATCTTCCTGCCCAGCCTCCCAAAGTGTTGAGATTACAGGTGTGAGCCACTGCACTCAGCAGGAGTTGGCCATTTTAAGAGGTGACTTGTACATAAGTTGCCACAGGAACTAGGATGCCTGCCACATTTCATCATGGAGACTAATCCAAAATAAAATCAATACAAGAGAAATGTAATTAACATGCCCATGGTGGGCCACATAGCAGTGCATCCAGAGCCTAGAAAAAGGAGCACTCACTTTCATCAGTATTCAGGTGAGTGCCTTGGCCACCAAAAATCTTTATCTAGAATAATTCTCTAGTTCCTTTCCTAACCTAATGCAATACCCAATGAAATTCTGTACACCTCTTTGTATGATTACATGTTCACCAAAATCCTGATGACTGACTCCATTATCATGATTTTGGAAAAGAGGGAACCCTGGGTAATGGGCAAGAATATTCTAGACATCAGGAAGTTACATGTCTCAATAGTTAACTGATCATATTGGTGTTTTGTGTACTTGGGTAGACAGTTTCCAAGGATCTGGTCTCAATAACTTAATACGTAAAATGTTGGAACGCATAAACTTGAGGACAAGATTTTGCCTCTAAAATATTAGTTTTAGCTGTTTAACAACCTGATCAATATAACAGTTAATAATGCATAATAGGCTGGGCATGGTGGCTCATGCCTGTAATCCCAGCACTTTGGAAGGCTGGGACGGGAAGATCACTTGAGGTCAGGAGTTCGAGACCAGCCTGGCCAATATGATGAAACCCTGTCACTACTAAAAATACAAAAATTAGCTGGGCGTGGTGGTGGGTGTCTGTAATCCCAGCTACTCAGGAGGCTGAGGCAGGAGAATCACTTGAACCCAAGAGGTGGAAGTTGCAGTGAGCTGAGATCTCACTACTGCACTCCAGCCTGAGCAACAGAGTGAGACTCTGTCTCAAAAAAGAAAAAAAAAAAAGCATAATAATCTAAGAAAACTTAAGAAACAGAAAAGCACAAAGTGAAAAAATACCCAAATTATCTGTGATAAATCCATCCCTCCAGAAAAACCACTGTTAATATTTGGATGTGTGCTTTTCTAAGCATGTATTTGTTGTAACTTGTTTATGTCCTTCAGTAATTAAGTCAACAAATATTTATTGAGCACTTGGAATGCCAGACCTGTTCTAGGTGCTAGGGATGTAAGTGCATTTTTTTTTTTTAATTAAGAAGATTATTTTTGAAAACAATCACAAACTAATAGAAAACTTCCAACTACAGAATTTTTGTTTTTCTTTTCCTGAGGGTAAGTACTGACTTGATACGTCATCAGTCCAGAATACTTTTAGTTTGTAGTTCCTACAGACATGGGCATTCTCCTATGTATCCAAAGTATAACCATCAAAATTGAAAAATTACCATTGATACACACTGTCACCTAATCTTCAGCCCCATTCAACTTAATTCAATTGAACTTAATCTCCACTTCATGGAAATTGGTATTTAGAAGCCAAGACCTGAGTGCTAAGTGTGCTTATTGCTATTCGGGTATCTTGTTCCAAGGCCTTCTCCAAGGTTACAGTTGGGAACACCCCCCCCCACACACACACACATGCAGTTACATCTATATTTATTTGTACATCTATCTACTCACATATCTTGAAAACCATGAATTTACACCAGTATCTCCAATTCCAATTCATCACTATAGGGCTGATTCTAGTTTTCTCCCTTCCTGGAGAAGCTTCCTTCTCCAGGAGTGAGGTTCTCATTATTTTTATTTACTTGTTTGATCACTCCCCTTCTACATAGACATCTCTCTCTGCCTCCACCCCCTGCCCAATACAGATGTCCTCCTTCCCCACTCAGGCTCTGGAAACCTGGACTGGGAAACCCTGTACCCTTCACCCATGAGGATGCCTTTCGCAGTCTTCCTAGCCTCCAACATTCCATGTGTGGATACAGTTTTGAACAAGGCAGACAAATTCCTTGCTTTCAAAGAGCTTACATTCCAGTGGGGAGAGGGACAGAAAAACAAAAATGAAAATAAAAATGATAAGTGCAATGACAAGATAAGATGATGTGATAAGAAG